CTCTCAGTAACAAAATCTATCTTAGTTACCTTTCTCTCATTACTGAGACAAAACACCCGACTCCCAGAGTTAAAGGAGGACAGGTTTATTTTGGCTCACAGTTTGTAGAGGTTTCAGTTTACAGTTGGCTTGTTCTAAGGCAGGGTGGCATGGTAGAAGGGTATCACAAGGAGAAACAGTTCATGGCAAGAAGAAGGCAGAAGATAACAGACTATTAGTGGCAACAGCAGCTTCTTTCTGCCCCTCTCATATTCTGTCCAGGGTACCTGGCTTAGGATGGGTGCCAAACAAATCAGTGGACTAATTTACTAATCACATAATCACCCATAATTGCAGCATCACATTCTCGATTCAGACACCTATGAATCTGAAAAAGCCCCACCTATGACTGACTGCATGAGGCTTGGGGGCCACATCTAGACACAGGCCATAGTAGTCATCTTAGCAATTTTTTCAGTGTTTAATACAAATTTCAAGAGTTGGGAGTGTACTATGGCAGGTGTAAGTGGAAACTACTGCAATGTGTTTACTTTACATATGACTTTTGATTAATTGAGCTAAAAATTAGTCATGTCCATATATTGCCAACCAAAAATTAAGTATGGTACAGTGGATAACAATTTTTGTTTAACCTGTAAAGCCCCCTTTTAATGAATTTTTGACCCATATTTGAAAATTTTGGTCTGCCAAATTTTACTTATCAAAAGCAATTTATCCATTTCCTTTCATCTCTGGTAACCAAGGTTCTACATAAATAATACTTAAATGAGGTTCTGTTAGGAGAAAAGAAGCAATACTTCAATTAAAATATATGTCACAAGCCAGATGTGGTGGCACACATCTGTAATCCCAGCACTCAGGAGGCTGAGGCAGGAGGATCCCATGAATTTGAGACCAGCGTGGGTTACATACTGAATTCAAGGCCAGCTTGATCTATGTAGTGAGACCCTGTCTCTTATTGTCACTTAGGACATTTAATGTGTTAAATACAGGAAGAAGAAACCCATTTAGAATCATCTGTGTCAGAATCACTTGTTCAAATGCATTTTCTCACTGTATACAATACTGGCCTAAGTCTCAAGATAACTGTTGGTCTCTCCCCATATGCTTTGCCCATCTTATTCTGCATTTCTTCTCAAAAACTAGAAGTTTTTATATGTAGAACTCAGGGCTGAGAGTTTGTAAAGATTAGCATAAGAGCAAAGATCTAAGAAAAAGCAGGGATTAATTTTCTTGGAACATGAAAATAAGGAGCTAGATGCTTTGCAGAAATTTCCTAAAATAATAGAAGACTTAACTGTAAGCAGATGGTGAGGTGAATTCCATGGGAGGTTTTTGGTTTTGTGGGGAGTTGGTTGGAGACCATGAAGAGACAGGAGTGAAATCAGAAGAGTGTCAGATTGGATTCAATCCTTTTAACAAGATGTCTGTTACAAGTCGTGGCCCACGGTAGCTCTTATTAGCTGATATGCCCACAAATACACAAAGAATGGGTAACTCTATAGTCTTCTGAAACCACAGACACAGTATAATGCTTGTATAATGCTTACTTTTCAATGCACCTTCACATCAATTTGACCCCTAAATCACTCTCCAACAGGAGGTAGAGCAAATATTTGCATTCACCTTTTCTAGGTAGGGAAACTGAGGCACAGATGGATAAAGCAACTTATGCTGAATCTCCAACTTGTACAGAATGCATCCATAAACTGAGGTTTATTCCCAGTGCTCACAATTTTTAGTCTACAATCCTTTCCACAGTTCCACTGCTGGCATTGCTTTTGACATGGTCACAGTGTTTCTGGGGTATATTGTGTGCCCATAGGCCTGCAACTAACACAAGATGTGGCTCAAAAATAGATTTATTTTAACATAGATACATACGTCCAATAGAAAGTGACTGGTGTTTTCCAGGGAAAAATATTCTCAAAGGAATGTTACCAATATTGGGGCTGGGGATTTAGCTCAGCAGCACAGCACCTGCCTGGCAGGTGCAAGGTCATGAGATTGATTCCTGGTACCAAGAAAAAAAAAAGGAAAGAAAACAAACAAAAAGGAATGTTACCAAGATTGCTTTGGATTTAAAACCAAAAGTTGGAACCAAAAAATGTTAAAATAGCTGATGGATCTAGGGCTAATGTTTAAGAGAAAATTATTGATGTTAATGTGTAATGTTTAAAAGAAAATACTGATAGCAATTATGGTTTTACAGTGCCTGCCTGGCAAGCACAAGGTCTTGAGTTCAATTCCTGGTACCAGAAAACAAAAAAACAAAAAAACAAAAAAACAAACAAAAAAAAAATTATGGTTTTATCTTGGAGAAGAAAAAATAGAACACACAAATACATATTGAATCATTGAAAAGCAATTATATCAGAGGTACAGTGCCTCAGTGAGCATTGTGTATTAAAAAACAGAGAAAAACTGAGGCCTGAGTCTTGACAATGCTTAATGACAGAACATATAAATGACCAGAACAGAGTGAAGAATATAGCTTATTAACTAGTTGCACATGTTCAAATTGTTTAATTTTTAGACCAACATTATTGGAGCAATGGATTACAGTGCTATTTTTTCTAAAAGAAGAGATTGCAGACAGTACTAAAAGTTATGTGCTGCAACTGAAAAGGTTACCAAACTCTAAAAAATCAGTATTGGAGAGTTAAAATTTAGTATGAAAAATTGCTCATCTGAGATGCCCCAGATATAACTTTCTGTCACATTGAGTGTCCCTGTGTGAGGCTTGTTCAGTGGTAGAAGGTCTCACCTGGTTGTTGTTTTAAAGTATTTGTTCTAAACAACCTGGAGTTATTGACTTCCTTCAGTGAATGTGAACATGTCTTTCCATAAAGCTCTACACACTTTTAAATGGTTTCACTACTAAGAGCTCACATTCACCAACTCTTGTTTCCAGTTGCATTGATCTGTCTTTCAGGGGTAGAAGTGAGCCCAGTCTTCACTCATGTCCTGCAGCAAGTGTAAAAGCGAACACAGTTCCTTCGACCATGAAAACTTTTCATGATCCCTCTTCTTCCTTTCCTGTCATCCCTTGATGGCACCTTTCTTTCTTCTCCCACTCCCTTTCCTCTGCCCCAAATATATTTTTTTGCCCAGAGTACCATTTTGAGTTTCCCCAGGTTCCCAGTTGCAGAGCTGCTCCTACTCCAGCCCAGGAAAGGGCAGGGCAGGGTGAGATTCGGCGAGTGTTGAATCCTGCTCTCAGGCCTTGTGCCTGGCTCTTGCCAGCATCAACTGTACAGTACCACTGTCTCCAGACCCTGAGATCATTTAGGCCCCTTCTTGTGCCATGCAGCACCAGACTCAGGGAAGTTCAGTCATGTCACTATAAACCTAACGAGTGCAGCCCTCCACTCTGATTTAATGTTTCTAAGCCAAGCTAAAAAAAAAAAAAAAATCCATATTGTTTTCCTAAAAGGTACAACTTCCAGAAGCAATGATATGTGCTTGTTCCTTTTGCCTGATGTGTGAAATGTGACCGTCCAGAGTCTCTCTTGCAGGACATTGTTGAGGAGGTCACAGTACGGTACATCCGGGATAAGATGTGGTCTGCTTCTGAAGATCTGCTGCTTTGCTTTCAAGCCACCAGCTCAGGACCCATGCTTAGGGAAGAGTTCGAAGCTCGGAAATCATTCTTGCATGACCAAGAAGAGAATGTAGTCAAAATACAGGTATGTGAATCACCCACCACTGAATAGGGCAAACTGTCATTATCCTCTGGAAATTTGTTTTTAAAAATAGGCCAGTCAGCCAGGTATGTTTTCTTAATCTCAGTTGTAGTAATTTCTGCTCTGATCTTTATAGTAGTTGCTTTCCTCATATGTGCTTTGGGCTTGTCTTGCTTTTCTTTTTCTAGAAGTTTCTAATCTAGAATTAGATTATTTATTTGAGCTTACTCCATTTTTCTGATATGGATCGCCACTATAAATTTTCCTGGTAGAATGGCTTTCATTGCCTTCCATAAGTTCCACTGATTCTTTTGCCATTTATTTCCAATTTCATTGCACTGTGATCTGAAGGGATAATTTCAATTCCTTTACATTTACTTAAACATGTTCTATGAGCTAGTATGTGGTCTGTTTTGGAGAATGTCCCATGTGCAGCTGAGAAGAATATGTATTCTGTTGTTGTTGGGTAGAGCACTGTAGTTATCTACTAAGTCCATTCATTCAAAGATTTGATTTGGGTTTGATGTTTCTTTGTTGATTTTTTTTTTTATCTAGTTCATCTGTCTGTTTGTGACAGTACAGTATTGAGGGTCCCCATTGCAACTGTATTATCTGATTTTTCATATACATTAGCATTTCTTTTACATACAGTGATACCTCAGTTCACAAATTTAATTCATTCCATAATGCTAGGAAAGATGGCCACATTGGTGTTAGTGTGAGGAAGATGCCCATGGTCATGTTTGTCACCCAATGTAGAGTTCACAAATGGAGGCAAAATTTAACCTAATGCCTTGTTTTAGGAACAGAACTGTTTAAGAACAGAAATGTTTGTTAACCAAGGTATTACTATAGTTGGGTGCACTGGCATTTGGTGCATATATATTTATAATTGCTATCTCTTCCTCTTGGATTATTCCCTTAACAAGTATGTAGTATCCTTTTGAGGGGTTCCTATTGCATAGAGTATTGTTTTCCACCCTTTAACTTCTAGTCTGTGAGTTTTGGGATCTGTTTCTTGATCCATTCTGCCAATCTGTTTGTTTGGACTGGTGAATTGAGACCATTCACACTGATGGTTATAACTGGTAGGTACTGACTTTCCTTGTCATCATATTATTTTCCTGTTGTTGATTCCCTTACTTTCCCTTTTATTTAATTACCCACCTTGCCTGATGGATTCATTCTATTGAGCTTCTTGGAATTGTTTTCTTAATTTTTTTTTTTTAGAATATCCCTCAGAACTTTCTGGAGTGTTGTTTTGGTGCTTATGAATTTCTTCAGATGTTCTTTATTATGGAAATACCTTTTTTTTTTTCATCAATTTTGAAGGATAATTCTGTGGGTTACAGCAATTTGGGTTGGAGGTTATTTTCTTTTTGGGTTTGAAATACTTCACTCCAAACTCTCCTTGAGTTAAGATTTTGAGTTGAGAAGTCTGCTGTGATTCTGATGGGTTTTCCATTATAAGTTATTTGTTTCTTTTCTCTAATAGATTTTAATAATCTGTCCTTTTTTAAATCCTGGGATCTTGACTATTATATGCCTTGGTGTAGTTTTTTCTGATTATGTCTAATTGGAATTCTATATGCCTCACTTATGTGTCAAATTCTTTTTTCATGCTCAAGAAATTCTCTGATATTCTGTGAATAGGTTTTTTATGTGCTTTGCACTATCTTCTGAGCTTTCATTGACTACCATTACTCTTATGTTATCCTTCTTTGCATCACCTGTCAGCTATTGAATTGATTTTTCATGATCTGTCACTATTTTTGAGAAGTTTTCCATTTCATGATCACTAACCATAACCTTGTCTTCTAGATATGACATTTGATCTTCATATTGGTTGATTCTGCTGAATATACTTTAAATAGAGTTATTAATGTCCTGGGTATCTTTCTGAATCTGTTGTATGGAATCTGAAAAATTCTGTTGGGCAGTCATACTTTCCATCACTTTTCTAAGCTCTTTATTCATTTATTTTATTTTATTTTATTTCATTTGTACTGGGAATCAAACTCAGGACCTTGCACTTGCCAGGCTACTAAGCTATATCCCAGGCCTATTCTTCCACAGGGTTTTGTCGTGATTTGTAATCCTGCATAACTTGATGAACTGTGTCTTTATTGAATAATTCTTATACAATGTTGTCTCATATTTACATTCTTACATAGTGCTGTAACCAGCACTTACATGTTTACCTCTGCTAAGTCATGGTTACATAACTCTATCCCACTGTTCACCTGAGCTAGACAAGTGGGGTCACATTCTCAGGTGTCCTTAGATGCCCCAAGCTTTGAAGCAGTCTGAGTGGTTCCCCACAGACTCCAATTTTTCCTTTAGGTCCTTCCTGGCTCCCAGGAATCTACCTCTCTCCTTCTTTTCTTCCCCAAGTTGTCTATATTCTAAATCCTGGAGAGGCTGATGTGTTGCTGCTTACTTCTCAGCCATTGTCCCAGAAATCAGAAATCACACATCTCCATGCAACTGGGCTTCCATATGTCACCTTCTGCCTGAACTGGGCTTTCTGTGGCAGGTGGTTGCTAAGTAGCAACTGGCTTCTTCTCACCTGAAAGAACAGAAGAACTAATGAAGTGAACCAAATCTAGTTCTCTGGGAGAATCTCCTCCCTTGTACACTTGTTGCCCCCTATTTAAGACTGCAAGAGAGATCCTCCTTCCATAGGATTTTGTAGTGATTTGTAATCCCGCATGTCTTAATAAACTGGCTTGTTGGGAGGAGAGGAACTTGCCTGATTTAGATGTTTCACCTCTCTTCCAACCAACATACTGGCTTCCAGAAGGCTGCTTGTCCATTTCTCATGTGTCTGAAGTGCTACTGTCATTCACTATCAGAATTTGATAGATTTTTGCCTAGGCCGGTTAACTATGAAATTCCTAAGCTAAAAGTTGCTGAATTGAAGAGCTTCTCTTTGGTAGCCATGGTGAACCCAGTTTGCTTTACCCATCTCATTTTAATGTCATTCAGGACAGAAGATGAACTGTACAAACATTTGTCTCCCTGGGTATTGCATAGGATAGGTGATCAGGTATTTGAATTTGCTCAAGACGTTAGTGAGGCAGAAATGCCTTATTTAAAGAAACTAATGCTGTAAACCTGACACTCAGAGGATTTTTCTAGGCAAGCCAGTGAGTTTTCAGTTTTTGCTTTCCTTAAGCAAATGGCAGGCAAAACATACAGGATATGAAAGGGGGGAAAGCCTTAAAGTAGAACCACCTATACCAATGAAAGGCTCTAATTTTGCATTGAGTTCACAGTGTCAATTGGCATGATGCAGTTGGGACCAAGCCCACACTTGCCAGTCTCCAGCTAGGAGCAGAGTCTGAGTCTGAAGCATAGCATTGCCTTGATGTCAGAATCTGGGGCTGGGGTCTTGACAATCTGTGGAAGGACAGAAAGTTATATATGAGCTTCTCCTGCCACCTCACCAGAGGCAGCAGGTTAAACTCTGAAACCTGCTTTCTGTCCACTTTGCCTTCTTTTGTCTCCCTGAGTTTCCTAAGCGGAGGGTGTGGGGTCTAAAGGTGAGCCAGCTTCACAGATGCAGACAAGAAATCAGCATGCAGTCCCACAACCTGAGCCATGCAACCAGAAGACCATGAAGTTAATCTCATTTTTCACCAAACTGGCTCATTCACCCTGAAGGAGGGGAATGTTCTGAGATCTGAGAGCTTGCCCTACATAGGACAGCTTAAGTTTTCAATTAGTTCAAGTGGTCCCAGGCACATAGTCTCAATCAATTTGGAAAGAAATACAGAGACAGAGACAGAGCTCACAGGCCCTCGACCAAGTATACCCAGACTCCACTCCCTCCATACTGTCAGGCTCCTGCCTTGGAACTGAATAGTGATACAGAGAATGCATATTGTCAGCATAAACCTCTATGTGTTTATGGGATAAGTCAGAAAGTGCCTAGGCCAACATGGAAGAACATCAAGGAGCGTCTGTATAGTTTTATTTATTTAGCATCCTGCAGGCTCAAATCCTGGGCCTTGCACATGATACGCAGACACTGGGCCACTGAGCTACACCCCTAGCCAGAATATTATTTTGAGCCATTGGAAGGCTCTGGTAAAACTATGTAAGTGTGAGAGTGAATGAACCTGGAAAAAAAAATCTCATAAATATGAAAAATTTGTATATTGAAAGCAGAAAAAAGGAATATAACTTAAAACATAAATGAAGTAAATATCTAAGGTTGCTTTTCCAGAGGACAAAAGAAAATTTTCTACTGAAATTGCTTTATGCTGTCAGGGATTGTAAAAGACGTGACTGAATGGAACAAGGAAAGCCTGGAAAATAAAATGGAATGATAACCGTTGGCCCTGGAAACTAAGAGAAATAATAATGTCATAGGCAAGAAGTGACTCTTAAGTCCAGAATGCAAATTAGACATGCAGTGTAATTGAAACACATTGAGAAAAATGAAAACAGGCCTGAAGGTCTTAGAAAAATTGTGCAAAAAGCTGAGAAACAGTAGGTGATTAAAAATACTTTTTCTCATTTGGAAATTATGATGGCCTTGTATTGCAGGGCAGAGTCCAGTTACACAGTAGACTTTCCCCAGTATGTGGCTCCTAAATGCTCAGTAAATGCTCACGTGATGAGCTGACAGAGAAGGCGGTTCATGGGACAGAATGTGTGGGCCCAAGGTTGAGACTGCTGGTGTGGCATAGGGAAAGATCAGGAAAAATGAAACAAGAAGAAATACTGTGAGTGACTGCCACAGAAAGGTTTTTTCTCTTGAGCTAAAGAAAGCTGGGGTACCACCTTTGAGGAAGGACATAAATAATGGCAAACACCAGAACTTAGCCCAAGGAGTTAATGAATTACTGAACTTCAGGTCAGGGAAAACCACAGACATCCAGCAGAGACGAAGACAGGGCTGCGTGAAGCAGCTTCAGACCCCCGGGAACAGTGCTGGTGTGAGGGCCGGAAGGAGGGGGCAGGACCCTGGGGACAGTTGGCCGTCACATTGTCTT